GCAGAGTTTTCTCCAGGGGCTCCACAAGGTTGACAAACTGGAAACATCTATAGATACAACACATACAATCAGTGGAACGCTAGGGCTCTGCATAAATATTTACACATGTAAAGGGCTCCAGTGCCCAAAAAGTTTGAGAACCGCTGCCCTAAGGAATCAACTGTCAACCTGAGAACCCCTTACCATTTATTTAGACACCCCCATCCACCCTCCCTCTGTTTGCAGGAGAGTTTAGTTTAAGTTAAAGGGATTTCTTAGCTCCGTGTGAACTGGATCTGGCAAATGCTGGTAGTTAGGGAAATATGCAGCCCTAAAAATAGGAAATCTAGAACATTTTAACCACAGCTAAATGATTGTTCAGAACCAGTGGTATTGTTTACAGTCTGTCATTTTTCCACTGAAAGTACCTGTTACAGGGTTTTCTGTAGTAAAGACAAGGGAAAGGCTGAAAAAGGAGGGGCCCTTGATGTGAAGGTACTTTAGTTTGCACTAAATGTTGTTTAAAAACCCTCCCCCAGCCCCAAATGAACTTTTCATCTCCCTCTACCCCTTCCCCAAAATGTAGTTAGCTGTTACAAGACAGATTTCAGCCTGCCCTGTAAGTTAAGAAATGGAGAAAAAACCCTATCTACAAAATACATTACTGTAGACAAGCTGGTATCTAGACTAAAAAGTTTGTACAGTTGGCTATTTAGTTTCATGTTTACATATGCCCTAGCTGATAGGTACACATGTAAAACAGTGGTTATGGGGAAATAAAGAGGAAGAGTTACATTAATGCCAGTTCTAGTGAAAACACCACATGCTTACTAACAGGAGGGAAAGATCTGCTCTACTGCTATTTTTAATTCCATTGGAAACCTTCTGGACCACACATGAAGTAGCCATCATTAGTTTCCGGACTGGAAGCTGTTAAAATGGCAGTTTCCTTGCAGTTAGCTACATGGCTAGGGCAATCACAGTATTTGCTGCTCACAGCATATCTACACCCTAAAGGAAGAGAGGTACTGTTCCTTCCTTATAACCCCTATCCTTTCTGCCTCGGTCATCTTACTGAGATTATATTATACACCTGCATTTAAGAACACTGATTTAAAAAACAAACAAACAAAAACCACCATTGTCTATTGTTGTGCACTCAAAGCTTGTTTCTGCTATGATGTTCTAGCTGCAGGTTTGGTTTTGAAGGTCTGGCATCCCATCCATCATCATGTGACTCAGAAGTTGCAATGTGTGTTACTAAGAATAACTTCATACCACTTCCATATGCTGGATAACAAAAAGAGAACTCCTGGCAGCCTATTTACAGTTCACAGTTAGGTAGTTCACATTACAGTAGTAGTTCCATCAAAATAGGCTCAGCTAAACATTCAAGTAACAAAAATGCTATTAGTCTTTTCATGCCAGCATATCCCTTTGTGTCCATTGCCAGCAATGGACTTTATACCAGAGAAGTCACCTCTTAGTACTAAGGAGTTACAATACAGAATTGGTGGATAGTGTAGTTTCTCAGTGCATGCAGTGGGCAAACCAACAAAATCATAACTTAAGTTTTATCTCAAGATGTTTTCAGAGAGCAGAATGTATGTCATTCCTTCACAGTATCAGTTCTGCTATTTAGACAAATGTAGTCCAAATACTCATCTGTGCTTCCAGAAGTTAGCTATGAACTTCTGCGCCATTAGGCGTCAACTTTGCTTTTCTCTCTACACATGGTCCTTTAGCAGAATACTGCACCAAAAGGAAAGGCTCTTTGGTTTCTCCTTCTCCCACAATGCTCTCTTCGTCTTCAGACTGGCTGATCCGTTGCAGACGCAGGTAACACCAGCAGCCCAATATCAAGGCACCAAGAGCAGCTATAGCAATCAGAATGACTATTACAGTCACCACTCCAGTGGTGGGGCTGTGATCCATAATAGACATGGTCAGTATTCAGATCAATTTTCAGATCTTAAAGATGGTTCTTCAGTCCTTAATAAGAGTTTTGAGATATCTGAATCTGCATCTTGGAACTCTGAAATACAGAAATAAGACATGTAATGTAATTGCACAGGGATATTACAATTTTACCTTGTTCAGTAACTAGCTTTACAGATTTAAACCACCCTACCCTCTTACCCATTTTTTGGTTTTGTTCATTTGTTTGTTTGGAAAAAAGTCAGCTTTTATACAAAAGCCTTTCAACTTGAAAACTTTGCCCCATCATTTTGCTTTAGCTTTGATTTGTAGGTTACAGAATGATGCATTTCCTACTGTACCAAAGTTTATGTACGACTCAAAAGAACATTATCCTGAATTTATGTATCAGTGTTGAAAGCACAAGGTGAGGTATTAGTGGTGTTTGCTACACATCAGCAAGTCTCAAGAGCGAACAAGAGGATTGCCTTCTGATGTGCCTATGGACAATGAGTGGGGGGGGGGGAAGACTGATCCTGGAGTACCTCAACGTGACTGATATTTGCTTGAAGCCTCATGCCATCAGTAGTGAAACATCCTTGGAATTTCTAAATGTTGTAATTTCTAAACTGAAAGGTTTGCAGCCCAGATGGAGGGAAATTCCACATTAGACCTTGTCATAGCAGAGGAACTGATCACACAACTGCCATTCTACCCTGCATTAAAGAACCTCAAACGCTCTGACAGTCTGAGCCTCGGTCCATTGACTCTGGCTTTCCGAGCTAAGAGCAGTGCAGATGCTTGATTGCAGGCTCTAGCCTGAGTTCTGAGACTCAGACCCATGTAATGCAGAGAGCCCAGAACAGCTACACTACAATTATTAGCCCCGAGCCAACCAAATAATAAAAAGCACAAGCTGTAGATTCAGCACAATCAGATTATTTATACTGAGTCTACCCAGCACACTATGGCTGTATCTACACTGCCTGCTTCTTGCGCAAGAACTCTTGTGCAACATCACGTCCACACTGCCATGTGCGAGATGTGCTTTTGTGCAAGAGCATACATGGTAGTGTGGACACTGTCTTGCGCAAGAAAGCTCTGATGGCCATTGTAGCCATAGGGGTTTCTTGCACATCCACACTGCCCTCTTGCGCAAGAGTTCTTGCACAAGAGAGCTTACACCTGTTAGAAAAGAGCGTAGCTCTTGTGCAAGAAGCCATCCCCTACCACGCTTTACTGTAAATCTTCTTGCGCAAGAGCGGGTAGGCAGTGTGGACGCTCTGTGGAAGAATGGCCATTCTTGCACAATAACTCACTAGTGTAGACATAGCCTACGTGTTTTAATCTGGCTGCACGTAAGTGCCTATCTGGGAACACAGAAGGAAAGCCAGACTTTAACAGCAGGTGGCACAAAGTCAGCGAGTATGAAAATCGTGCACAACAGCCTCTACAGTTTGGTTACGTGGGCAGAAGGATGACACTACTACCCAGCTGCTAAATAAAATGTCTTACTTGTCAAATTACTTCATTCCTTCAAACTAGGGTGCCCCACTGCAGTACCAACAGAAACTTTGTTTACCTCTGCCACAGCTGGTCAGTCCCCACTGGGGACTCTCTTGTGCATTTCAAAGGAGGCACCCGCGTGCAGTCCAGAATAAGTGGGACTTCCCTACTGGTCCCGAGCTGTACCCAGAGTTCTGCATTCCTCCTTCAAAATGTACAAGAACCCCAACAGGTGCTCTTGTACATTTCGAAGGAGGAATGCGGAAGTGCCTATCGACTAGCTGACTAGTCAAAGGAGATTCCATCAACTAATCAATTAACTGCATTTTAACATCCTTACTGCAGTCTGGCAAAAATGGAAGAGGGTCTTTACTTCAAGCTTCCCTCCCTGTTGCTCTAGAGGAGCAAAATAGAGAGTTAAAACTAAAGCTGAAGAGTTTATAAGGGACGGATGAAACATGGATTAGAGGTTTTTGGGGTATTGCTCTTAAACCTACCCAGACTAATCAGCAGTAGCAAAGAGAAAAATGTCTATCCTGACACACGTCAGGACACCTTATTTAAGAGAATGCCCTTTGAAGATTTTTAAATAAGTTTCCATTCATTTGCTATACCATAGATCTTTTGTCCCAGCTGATGGATAACCATTTATTTAGGCTTCTCATGCTCTGCAGCTGTCAGATCAGAAAAAAAAAATCCAACAAGGACTCATGAATTTAGAGGTAAGGCTGAGGCTTTTTGGATATGTCCGCACTGTTGTAGAAGCAAGTCTCCCAACCTGGGTAGACAGATTAGTACTTGCTTTACTCAAGCTACAGACCTCAGATATTGGCCAATATCCATGCTGCTGGAGGAAGCTACTAGCTCAGGGCTCAGCAAGGTGTAAAGGCTGGTAGGAGGAAAGGGAGAAGCTAACATTCCAAAGTCACTGGAAAGCATCAAGGGCTGAAGCTGTCAGGAGAGCAAGTCTCTACCCTTCACCAGAGAAAGCTGGTCCCTAGAATACCACTTGGTGGGGAGAAGCATGTAGATTGCCTGGCTGCTTCATAGAGCTCCGCTTTAAGCAGAACATGTTACACGCATAGACTCTCTGGCTCCTGAGACAAGATTTCCCCACCTAAAAACTTTCCCTCCTCCCCACATTGTCTCCCTGATCATCTAGAACAGGAGCTTCACCACAAACCCAATGACTGAGCTGGTTAAAAGTCAGACCATCATGGGCACATCAGTAGGAATCATTGCCCAAAATTATCCACAAGCCACTCTTTAGACAAGCCTGGGCACATACAGAACAACCACTGTTCACTATGTTGTAACTCGTGTAGTGACACAGGAAATAAAGCAATTAAATACAGAAGTGATGTTGGGCTCCATGTGTCAATTCCTGTATCAAATGTACTTTATTTACAAATAAAGAGCTTGTTTTTAAGTACAAACCCTACTAGCATGAGAGGGAGTTAAAGTCAAAAGGGACTCTTTTTTGAAGCAGTCACCAATAATACAAGTTGTGCTAGCTGAATTCTGCTCTCAGGTACTCCTGTGTAACTCAACAGCCATTACATTTTGTACAACCCAACATTTGGATTTGCAACTGGAATTTAGGAAATAATTGTTAATGATGCATAATAGAAAATAGCATAATCATAGCTCTGTGGGTTCTGCAGAGCCAATGGAAATCAAACTTATGTCATTGACATGGACAGCTGATTATGAATAAGGTAGTAATTTTTAGTCACATTCCTCACTGAAGTCCTCAAGTTATCTAGACTGAAGTCGGAATAGCCATTTTTTGTTTGTACACAATGTAATAATAATGGCACCTGCAATCCCGTCTGATTTCTGTGTTCTACCTTACTATGGGAGTAGTCATACAGTGAAGATTGTAACATTTAAGCCAGTTTTGAAGTAAGGTGATTGGAAGGGCCTACATGCTATATCAGATTCAGTAAGTGCTTGTTAAAACTGCTAATCTATCTACAGCACCAAATGGTTGCATTGAACTAAACTGCAATTAGAGCAAACACCCTGATCCTACAAGCTGACGCATTCAGGAAGACTCTTGAACCACATAGATCAGCGTCTAGGACTGTGGCCTAGGTTTCTATTTGTGATAATTCTCTCCTGCTTAAAAGGGAGACTGTTCTTCCTTATTTTCTAGGGAAAAAGATGCTTCCATCAAGATTTACAGCAGAGGATGAGATTTCTTGCCAAGCCATTTGACAGAAGCAGCTGAGTTGGACTGAGAGCTCCATATCTTATCCCTCCAAAGGCATGGGAGGGTTTTTTTTCCTCCAGTAACTGGCTCTTTTATGTGCTGTGCACAGGAGATATGGATTGGACGTGAAAGGAAAAAAAAAACGGTAACTACTTTTCTAAAAATTAAAACCAGAAAAACCTCTACAGTGTTCTCAATTCTTCCCATAAAATTATTTCTTTACCTTTTTATAAGAGATGACTTAAGAGGTACAATCATGCTGCAACTCAAGTGAAGTGAGAAGGGGAAAATTAATATCTTGTACTATATTATTTTTCTTCCATTTTTGTTTTTAACTACATAGGGACTAGGTATATAATGACCGTGATAGGGACTTACGTTGGCAGGCATTTCTTGGCTACTAGTGGATATCAGAGAGAACTCTGTTAACCCAGCTGTCTCAGAGTATAAATTGCAGCCGCTATGGGCCCATCCATGCCTTAGGAGAATTGGCTTATGAATATGCATAACTCAAAGATGCCTTATGCAAAACAGGTCTGTAACATTCCAATTTTACAGTTACACGCTGCTGAATCTGTATATCCTGTTTTTGTGCATGTATCATTCTTGTATATGAAAAGTTAGCAATGTGAAGTGTGAATCTATTCATAGCTCTAAATGTGCTAATGAGGGCTGTTAGTGATACTTCAGGTACCTAATGACACAGTACTCAAACTTATGGTCATTGGTGGATGGGTGTGTGTCCTGGAAGACCAAACTGTGGTTGGTTCTAGAAAGACATGTGACCATGCCACCTGGTACTGGAATCCATTCTCAACTTCGTATTTTTGAATGGTGATGTAAAATCCCTTTTAATTGGTTATACATTAACTAGTTAACCAATTAAAAGGGAGGTAGGGGGAGGGGTGCTCCAGCCCTCACTAGTTAACATTAACAGTGAGGCTTACCAAGTAAGTAGTTAAACATTCACATTCTTAAAGGGACAAAAGACAGGACTATGCAGCACTTTAAAGACTAACAAGATGGTTAGTAATAATAAACCATCTTGTTAGTCTTTAAAGTGCTGCATAGTCCTGTCTTTTGTTTCAGCAAGACCAGACTAACAGGACTACATCTCTATTACTATTCTTAAAGGGGGAGCGGTACCACTGAACAAAGGGTTCCCATTCTGGGGAAAGTCCATTTAAGTAGTGGGAAGCAATCAAACGTTTGTCTTCAGCTGTCCTTTGAAACTACCTGGGCTACCCAAAGAATACCTGACAACAAAGAACTCTGTCAAGCTATAGACCCAAGCCAGAGTAAAGATCAACTGACTTGAAGCTTTTTACCTGAGATAAGAACAACTGTGTAAGGTTAGAACTAGCTAAGCATTTTGTTCATTTTAATTGAATAACTCA